AGATATTTTTTCTGCTTTTTGTTATCTCTTTTTTATTTCAGCTTTGTCCATCAGCTATTTATTTAAAACTTCAAATTTTCTTCCCAGAGAACTTATTTATTCTTGTGTCGGTGAAGATATATGGCTTATTTATATGCAGCAAACACATAAAAATTCCACAAGATTCTGCATAAATATTTCTCCATCCTTTTATACAATATTTCATTGTTCCAGTACTTGATTTCTCTACAGTTTTAACAGAATACATGTTCTATACCTCTTAATAAATCATAAGAGAATGCATATTAGATAAGAAGAAAGAAAAGTTAAAAATGCTGAAATGGATTTCCTATATTAAAAAAAAAAATGCTATTTTTCCTACAGCCAAAAACAAAAAAAAGGAATAGGTCCTAAAAAAAAAAAAACTCCCCTCTGTCAATCTAACAATTTTAGAGTCTGTATTATGCATAGCCTAATTCAACACACAGCAGAGATGCCTTGCCCATTGTCCTGGAGTGACTGTATGCTCCAGTATCCCCATCATCTGTTTTTTTCTGCTTGGAAATGGGTCCTGTAGCTTTAACAACTGGAAATCAATGGTTTTCCACCAAAAGGGTATGTTACAAGAAATAAGGCAACAACAAATTTCATCTTGGAGGTTTTTTTGGCCTATGCTGGAGGAAAATTATACACAATCAGTCATATTTTTTCCTCTAGTCTTTTGTTTCCCATGCTCTCAAAAATTATTATAAAGGGGTTTTTATGTTTTTGCATAAAAAGAAGAAAACAAAAAAGAAATTATAATTATTCAATTTAGGGAAATATGTGAACTTCTAAATTATTGTAAAGTAGGGAAGATGCATCAAAAGCACTTTTTGAATGGTAACTTTTAGTTTTTCTGTTTCAGCATTAAAATTTAGAGATGAAATTCTGCTCTATTTCCCTCTAGTGACTGCTTTCATTGAAATAGGATTTCATTCAGATTTATTGTGAAGTAGCAGAAAGGGAGATGACCCCTTAAGGCAGCCACTCATTTCTCTTGTAGCAAATTATGTAATTCCTGAATTTGATTTCCAGTACACATTAGGTATAAGATGTGCTTTAGTTAAAAAGAACAGGGATGAGGATCTAACATAGACAAGGGCTTTATTCAAGTGCTCTGCAATGGATGTTGAAGTTGTTTTTTAGTTTTAGTATCTGCTGCTCTGTGAACATGTGTTTTGAGATCAATTTCCATGAATTCAAGTGAGACTTAATGTTTTTTCTCATGTCAGGACAGGTTTTAAATAGCATGAACCAATTACTTTCACACAAAATGCTGAATGACTATATGAGACATACTTCTGCCTATCAGTGGTGATGCTTTTGCAGACATTGGAAATTTTGCTCTAGTTTTATGACCTTTGAGAAATTTTACCTATTATTTCATTCTTTGGTGTTGGGAATTTATATCTCAGAGTAGAAGAGTAAAAAAAATACCCTACTTCTAAGAAAAGCATTGGAAGAATTCTCTGCCCATCCTTTTTTTTTTCTGTTATAGCCTCAAATTTTATTAAAATAAAAATAAAGTGGTGGTGGGGAAAGCTTTTACAAGAAAACAATGATGGTTTTTGTCTTTTCTAACAGCAAGAAGAAACATTATCAATTCCCACATGTAGTAATAAAATGGAACACAAGTAATTGTGTGTTCAGGCCTACTGCCATCACTAATGATAATCTCTTGTATTCCTTGAGAAAATTTTTTGACATCAGCACATTGAATTTTTTTAAAAAATCATCATCTATAATTTGCACAAACCCATGGTGCTGTGCAAACCCACAAGCCTGGCCACCTGCAGTGAGTGTGAATATCTTTTTCAAAGCCATGGGAAGATCTGTTTGATTCCTAGGGTTTCTTTCCATGGGTTTCTGAGACTTCCAGTCAGCAGATCACCTTAAACCATAAAACCTTCTCCCTGGGCCATGCTTTCTTTTCCAGAAAATTTATTTGAAACACTGTAGAGATAGTAATATAGAATTAAACACACCCTTTGCACAACTCAGTTGACCTTTCCTGATCACATTTGAGACCCAGAAGACACAACTGATTGATCTTTGTAGGTATTATGCCTCTAATCACTGTGGCTGGATAATCTTTCCCCTTTAGCTGAGTTAAATCAGAACTAAAGCATTAGTAAGTCATTTCTGGAGGTTTTTCTTGGTTTCTTTTGGTTTTGTACTAACCAGGAAACAGTACTTGAGGTTGGACAAAAAATTTTTCACCCTTCCAGCCCTCACTGCATCTGCTTTGCCTACAGCCCTAATACATCTTCAGCTACCAGTGAACAAAACCATGATGTATCCACATGCATCTTTGCCTGTCTCTTGTCAGGTGCCCCACTGAAAACAGAATTATAGGAAGTACTTAACAGAAGACCCTTTTGCAGTGAACACATTATCTTCTGAAATGTCTCTATTTCAGTGCAACTGCCTTTCCATTCATTTGATTTGTATTTCCTGTCACAGTCTAAGGAATTTCTATATTATTTTCATTTCATAAATCCATCATATGAGATAGGTTTAAGAAAGTCAATAATATTATATATTTTTCTCCATTCATCTTGAGAAAGGACATTTTTTTGAACTTCTACATTAATGATTAAAAATTGACTGCAGTTTTGCAGCAGAATTTACTTATTAAAATATGAATTAATCATATAAAAGGGAAATCCTCTTTGCTTATAATGTAGTATTCACAAGATCTGAAAAGTGATTTTATCTTGGGTTTTGTCTTTGCTCTCATAATCTTATTTATTTTTCTTTGAAATAGTACTACTTCTGGTCTGCTACCCTGGATATAATATTTAAAGTTCTAATTACATGGGTCAGAAAATTTGTCCAAATTTTTTGTAATTTCCTAAATTAAAATCAAAACTTAGCTTGAGATTTTAAAAAATGCATGCACTTTTTTGTTCATTTCTAAGGGGAAAATACAGGTAATTTTCTGCTTAAGAAACCATATTGAAGTCATGGGATTTATACCAACAGATAATTTGATTGAGAAGGTACCAGACTTTGAATGTTTCCATACTGCCTAATTTAATTATTTAGCAGACATAAGTCTATATATTTTGTTTGGCTCTCACTGAAAAATTAAACAAAAGACATGTTCTCTGTGTATCAAGGATAGCTGATATTACTCTCAATCCCAGCTTGTGTAGGAATAAAAACCTGCTAAAATGTTGAAGGTGAAAGCAAATTGTCATGTTTTGGGTCTGGTCACAAACATAAGGTGGACAATGCATTTCTGGGCAACCAGCAAAAACATGAAGAGCACAGGACAGGTTTGAGGTGGACTCTTTCATCATCAGAACACTTGGAAAACAGGGAAGCAGGAAGATATCAGTAACATAGTCTTGCAATGACATGTCTGTTTCTACAAAAGCTAAAGAAAGCACGTAAAGGAAAAGGCCTCTGACTGTGTTTGTGGCCAGCCTGGGAGAACAGGCTGAGATTGTGCAGATGCAAAGCAACCTGTGAGAGTGACCATGAAATAGATGACAGAATTAACAAGCCTCAGATGGTTAGAGGGGAGAACACAAACATCATAAATCATGGAGCTCAGGACAGCAGACTGCAATAAACACTTGGGGGTGGAAGTATTAGATTTTTACAAAATGTCAGTAAAAAGGGGAGTAGGAATTGGAGAGAGCTGGTAGTGCTGTTAAAACAAAACCAAAAGGAACAAATAAAGGACAATTCATAGGCACAAAGTAACCTGAACTAGAGTGTCAACAGTCTAGGAATAAAATGAGAAGGGTGAAAAATAACTTATGACAAAGTAAAACATAGGAGAAAATTTATTATTATTAGAATATTAAGAAAAATGCTGGTCTGTTCCTCAACAGGAATCTTGAGAAGGTCACAATGTTGTCATCTTTGCTTCTATCTTCACTAAAAATGTCAACTCTGATCTTACAGCGAAGAAAATGAGCTGCAGACATAGAGATGAGTAATAAAACCAGAACAGTGACAAACAGCTTGGAAAATAGTTAAATGAGATGTTCCAAGAGAGGCTCAGTGGAAATTCTCTGTAGGTATTTTCCTTAAGCCTGCCTTTTGTCCCATGGATGATAAATGATTATGTTTTGAAAACCTGTCAAAATTAAATTAGGCTCCACAAAACTCAGAAAAGCCACTCCTACATCTAATTAAAAAAAAAAAAGGAAAAGAGAGGAGAGACAGGTTAGTGGAGAGAAAACCACTCAGCCTACTTTCAGTTTTAGAAAGATCTTGCAATGAAAAGTCACACAAACCATTCACAAACACCTAAAAGACAGAAAAGTCGTGCCTGCATGAACCTTTCAATATCAAATTATAGTAAATTAATCTAATTATTTGTATGAGATCAGATTTGCTAAGGTGTAACAATGAAAAATAAATAAGATAAAAATAACCAGTCACAAGAGAAGTTGTTGGTCACAAGATCAAGATAACATGAAATTGGATGGGAGCGTTCTGCTGAAAGGTGGGAAGGCTCAGGAGAGGGATCTGGACAGGCTAGATCCATGGGTAAAGGCCAGTGGTGTGAGGTTGAACAAGGCCAAGTGCCAGTTCTGCCCTTGGGTCACTCACAACAGCCCCACAGTGCTGAGGACAGAGTGCACAGAGTGGCTGGGAAGCTGTGTGATGGAAAAGGACCTGGGGGTGCCATTTGACAGCAGCTGAACATGAGCCAGCTGTGCCCAGGTGTGGCCAGGAAGGCCAATGGCATCCTGGCCTGTGCCAGCAGCAGTGTGGCCAGCAGGAGCAGGGAAGGGATTGTCCCCCTGTACCCAGCACTGGTGAGGCCACGCCTCAAATCCTGTGTTCACTTCTGGGCCCTTCATGACAAGAAAGACACGGAGGGGCTGGAGTGTGTCCAGAGAAGGGCAACAGAGCTGGGGAAGGGTCTGAAGCACAGCTCTGATGAGGAACAGCTGAAGCTGTTTAGTCTGAAGAAAAGGAGGCTCAGGGGGGATCTGGTCTCTCTCTATACTCACCTGAAAGGAGGCTTTAGCCAGGTGAGGACTGGTCTCTTCTCCCAAGTAACAGGCAACAGGACAAGAGGAAATGGCCTCAAGTTGCATTAGGGGAGGTTTAGATTGGATATTAGGAAAAGCTTCTTCACCAGAAGGGTGGTCAAGCATTGGAACAGGCTGCCCAGGGAAGTGGTGTAGTCATCATTCCTGGAAGCATTTAAAAGACATGTAGCCTGGCACTTATCAATACGGTTCAGGGGAGGGCTTGGCAGTTCTACGCTGATGACTGGGCTTAATGATCTCAGGAGGCTTTTCCATTGTAAATGATGCTCTGATTGTATAAGCCAAAATTAAACTTCACTGATTTATGTATCCGCTCTCTGATAGAAGCCACAGGCAGATGTCAAGGACAACATGAAAAAAGTATGGTAAGAATGTATTTAACTTTTATGTGGTAGGCTGTCCTGGTTTGAGTAAACATGCAACTTAATGACTTTCAGACCTGGAAGTTGCATCAATAACTATTTTGGGATATTCCATTCAAAATTAAAGTATATTTAAATACAATATTGCAGAATCTGATATTTTCAAAAACCACTTACATCACATTATTAATATAATAAATATAATATATAATTGTTATATACAGAGATCATACCAAAATTGAGGAAGTTTCAATCACTGAAAGATCTAGGAATAAAACTCCAAATAATCTTAAAAGGCTAATGAACATTCCTGCAAAACCAGGATCCATATCAGAGGGGAAAGAGAAAATGTTATGCATTTAGATTACACTACAGAGATAGAGGATAGGGAATGACAGATCTGCTCTACTATAAAAGATCTGAGGATTAAAATGGATCAGACCAGAGCACATGCCAATAACATTGCCAATGCAAACATAATGCCTCAATGAAAGGCTGGCTGTAAGAGCTGGTGCATCATCCACTGGAGTTAATTTCCAGTTACAAGCACTGCTCCTCAAGAATAGTCTAGGTCATCTGAAAGGAGTTAAGAGAGCCGAATGAATGATAGAATTGAATAAAGTATTTTTCAAGAAGAGTTGAATGGGTCATATAATCTAAAGGAGAGAAATCTGAAAGGAACTTTAACAATTTTCAGACGTGAAAAAAGTAGCTGTGAGGAAAAGAGTAAGCAATTCTCCATGAACACTACAGATAAAGCAAGAAGTTTCATACTTAAATACCAACAACAAAAATTCAAAGACAGGTCTTGGAATAACTTTTGGATAGGCAAAGTTATTCACAAAACAGCTCCATTACTCCATTACTGGAGTTTATCTAGGAAAAGATAGACAAACACCTGTCAAAAATGCTTGGGCATAAATGACACAGATTCATGTTAAAGGAGTCTGGGTCTTTTTCCATTTTATTTTCTGTGTCCTTTCAGTTGTTTTTCTCTCTGTTTTTGCAGAGGAAAATAATTACTTGAATAAATTGCCAATGGATGCTGTAGAGTCTCAGTTACTTCTAGCTGCATTTAAAAATACAGCTATACTACTATATTACTTCCTATGAAATGAACTGTCTTGCAACAGTTGGTATATGTGGCTTTATGCAGAAATAACTGACAAGGTCTTTCCTTATTTTTTTCTGAAGGAGATTGAACTACATGGTTCTAATTCTTTCTTCTGGTCTTACTATCTAGATGTTGCAAATAAATTAACTGAATACTGTTGAGTACTGCAACACACTGCCCACAGATGTTATAGAATTTTCATCCCTGGACAATATGCTGTAATTGACCCTGCTTTGAGCACTGGTTTGGACTGCACAGTCTCCAGAGGCCCCTTCTAGCTTCAGCTCTTGTGATGCTGTGACATCCTGTGATTTCTAGATTGCAACTACATTAAGTGCATCTTATCACCATGAATCAAGTGAAAACTCTGAAGCATTCAAGAATGAAAAGAATAAAAATCAATGTGAAGAGCATTTTCTCTCCTGTCATGGTCCACATGGCTTTTTTTTCTGATGTATCCTAATTATTTTTGTTCCAACTGGATTGCTTTTCTAATGAAAATTAGGCTATTTTCTGCTGTTACAAGAGTGAGAAATGAATCTGGTGAAAGTTACAGACTTCGTGAGATGCCACCCTGTATGTATTTGATAAGCAGTGATACAAAAACATTGAAGGCAATTTGGTAAAACAGAGAACATGATGAGATGCTCCACATGAATTGGGAACTATAAAGACCAATTTAGCACAATAGTTTAGAATGGATATGAAATTTTAAATGAATAAAAGAAAAATTTTCAGTGAAATATGCTTAAAAGAAAAAATAGGCAAAATACTGGAAGATGTTCAGTGTGCAAAGAAAGACAGGGAATGAAGGCAAAACCAGGAGGAATCAGCTTCCACAGCCCAGCAAGGGCTGCTGTCCAGTTCTCTGCCTTCACCATTGAAATCTGGAGTTATGTCATATGCAAGTCACATCTTTCATATAAACCAAACCATTCTGTGAATGAGTGTTCTTCAGTAATGGTTCTTTTTAAAGGCTCCCAAAGAAGGTTTACCTTTATGCCCAGGATAGCAGAAGCAGGAAAACCTAACTAACCCATTTCTCTGTTGAGCTCATATTTTCAGAGTAAGATTCACTTCCTTTGATTTATCTGATCCCTCAGAAGAAATCATACACATAGAGAGAGCAAAAAAATCCTTCTCATGATGGAAGGAAGAGCTAGATGCTTCTAAAGAGGAGTGAGAATCACAAGTAAACACAGCAAGCACTATGCTAACCAGAGGTAGTAGTAACAAGATGACATGGTGTCCCCTAATTGATACTCTGACCTAAAAGCTTGTGCAAGCCTGACAATTAGAGACTCAAACCATCTCCTGGTTGTTGGCACTTATACCAAGTACTTTGGAAACAGAACACTCCTTAATTCACTTAAATGGCTGAAAAATGGAAGTGGTGATTATAATTTATGTTATAGATTAGAAGTTAAGTGCTCTTATGCAAGAAATAGAAACTCTGAATATGAGACCTTCCCCAGCCTGGTGGTTCAAACTCAAAATTTCCATCTTCCATCAGCATGGCTTATCAATTTTAGAAGGAAACTTTGGATAAAAATTGCTTTCCTGCTGAAGCTCCGTCATCATGCAATAAAGAATTCACTGTTCCCGTATACTAAGAAATTTACTACTCAAATTTACTAACAAATTGAGAATGTAATTTCATTTGAAAATGAAAAATAAAGGCAAAGTCACTGTTTAAGAGAATTCATCTGTGAATGGCAAATTGCCTCCTGAAGCAAATGCACTCATTATGCTCAAAGAAAGGATGAGATCTCCCACAGTTAAATAAAACTAGTAGGAAAAATAATTGCTTGATAAATCAGAGTAATTAAATTTTGCACATGTGAATGCTACTGCACCTCTGTCTTCAGTACAACAAGAAAGGAAAGAAACAGCACATAAGGCTCAGCCTTTACTCCCTGAAAAAATGTATTATTGAAAGAAATAACACACCTTTTCCCTTTTAGCTCTTCACTAATGAGGAATGGGAAATCTTACCCCACTCAGCTATTGGGATCAGAGCAGCCAATAACTGCGATGATGTTATCTAGTTCCAGTTCACCTCCTGCAAACATTCCACCGATCACTAATTGTCTTCTAGGATTTAAAAACACAAAACAACAGACTCCGCTTTTCTTTGGGAACCTGACAGGTAATTTCTTAGTTGATCTGTCTTATATGCTAATTTTTGTATACCAGGTTAATAACTGCTTCCTCATAAACTTCCATAGGAAAAATACCCATGAGGCCTTTAACTTTTATAGGTATTCTAATTGCTCTGCATTAGTTCTGAAAAGAAGTTTCTGCCATTTGAAATTTTCAAATTTCAAAAGTTAATTCTTGACCATTCAAACTATTTTTGTGTTTAGGCTATTTAAACAGTTATCTACATCTAGGCACACACACATTCCTCAGCTGTTCATTTCTGCAGTCAGCAGAAATCCAGCCAATGCAACCTAGAGCACAAGTCAGTTCACCCCAACTGAGGGAACCAGCAGCTGCTGAGCTGAATCACTCGCTCAGCACCAGTAACACCAGCCCTGATCTTTATTGACTCTAATAAAGGCTTTGGTACTGAGGGCTCAATCCATTGTCCACACAGAAGGAGCCAGTGCCATTTGAGATGGACAGCATAACCTGCCTGTCTTGTTGGCAATACACCTTGCAGAGCTGTCAAGGTGCCTTGCATACTCCAGGGCATCTGAAATGGCAGCAGTTCCTGTGTGGGGGTGATAGAAGCAAGCCTTTAGGCCACAAACAGACTCCTGAAGGTAGGCATAACAAATTTAGATATCTCAGTTGTCAGCTGAATCTCTAGGATTTAGGAATTGGAGCAGCTTTATCTGGAAAGGCCATGGTACTGCCATGGCATACGTAGCACTCATAAGCAGTGGTTATTATGGTTTCCGTCCTACTCAAGAGGCTAACAGGAGGAAAGCACAGCACAAGCTCATTCATATCTGTTCCTCAGGAGTACAAGGATGTGTTGCATACTCTATCTTCAGAACCAGCCACGCAGAAATCACCAGCAATTACTTTCACAAGAGTTACGGAAGAGTGATTTTGGGCTTAAGGGTCATTTTAGGCATAGCTGTATGATCAGATTTGGATGGTCATAAGTTAACTCCACATTTTATGTCACCTCAGGTTCTCAACACATTTAGACACATTATTACAGGATAACATTGGAACTAAAAATTCACACCTCTCAGTTTATTCATGCAGGCTCAGTAGACGGCAAACCGGGCTACGATCCAAGCAGGAACTGGCCTGTGCTGCAAAATCTTGGGCAGAGATGGCATCAGATACTAACCTTTGAGTATTTAGGTATACTCAGACACTTTGGTGCTGATCCACTCACTGCAAGATCACCACAAATTTGGCATATTGAAACATCAGGCAACAAAAGACACACGAAGCACTGAGAGAGAGTATCTATGTAGAAACATATTCACCTTTTGATGGTCCACTTTTGACAAAAGAGAAATTGCCTTTTATTAAGAGATTCTAAACAAAAAATAGTAATTTTTCTAACAGCTTAATGTTCTGTAAATATCAGTTCCATGAGCAATTTCCTTAAAAAAAGTTCAGGTAATCTTATTACTCATGTGATCTCTGTGCATTTAGTCTCCTTTTAACTTTTCCACTGCAGCATTTCTGTAGGAATTGACCATAATAAATGTGATTTTAAATGCAGTTTATACAGGTATAATTCCTGATATAACTTATCCATTTGGTGGTTAGCTATTCTTTTAGACTAGATGTTTCCAGATGACTGAGTAAGTTCTTTGAGCTTCTTCCCAACGTGCCTCTTGTGTGTATGCATCGTGTCTGGCAAAAACTGTAGTGTCCACTGAGAGAAAGAAGATGTGTAGCAGATGCTCGACTGCATTTCTTTTCCTGCTTGACTGCAGTGACTGCTTTGAGAAGTAAACAATTCACTTGGTAAAACAAACTGCTGCAAATGCTCACTATGGGTTGTATCATTTGATTATTACCTTGCTTATTCTCTTTCCCTAAACAGGTTTATTCAAATTCCCCTACCAATCTATATACTCTTGAATTTTTATCAGCTATATCTCTTCCCTCCATGCTGAGCCCACACTTCATTTTTGCTCCAAGACTGTTTTATCTATATGTAGGATTGGATTTTTTTTTGTTGTTTTTGTAAGGTACTTATTCTTGGAATTAGTTCCTTCTTTTTTACTAAGGGATGGCATGTTCTATAAAGTATTCAGTCTCTAAATCAGACAGTGAGAGAAAAAAAATGTGATGTCTCCCACTTTCAGATTTGAAAGAGCAGCTGATGTCAGAAAGCAAGATAAAAAAGGTGACCTTAAAACAATCTGGTTCATAATGATGCTGCCTTTTAGTCTCAGTGTCCAGTTTATCTCAGAGCACATGCAGGGTGAAGACTGCAAAGTAAGACTAATGAGTATGGCAGAAACATGTGAAGTAATTCATCATCATAACAAAGCATAGCACAATTATCAGGAATTTCCTGTAGACCTGCCATGATTACATGGAAAGAAATTGTTTTGTCTCCTCAGTTAGAAGAGCAAGAATACTGAACCTAGAATACTAGAAAGGGATCATCGCCACCTATATACACAAATTATCCTTTTAGGATATGACAAATGTACGATTTGGCTTTCTTTTTGGGTTTGTACACTGAAATAGTATTCATTCAGTGCCTGGTCAAATGGGTCTCCATGTTCTGCAACAGGATACGTCACAAAAAACATAGGAAGAAGAGGCAGCTGGCTACAGGGATTGAGGAGTTAATGGGTGTAATCACAATACGTTTTTCATGCTTGCCAAAGACTTTATTGCAGCAAAAATTTCAAGTAAGAATGGAAGGGAAACCTTTAATTAGTTGGAATTTACTTATTTAAAAAAAAAAAAACCATCTCTGCTTGGTGTATCTTCCTGAGAAAAGACTAACATCAGCATCACTTTGTGAGTAATTTGGTTTGGTCCTGTTCCTCGTGTTTAGCTACCTGGAGTACAGTTTAGGCTGCTGTTTATTTGACTCTCCTCCCTGAGGACCACTCTTCTGTAGGAAAATTAAGCTATGCAATGCTTACACACACATTTCTTGCACTTCTGCTGGAGAACAAGACCCATTCTGAGTAAGAACTAGTAATAGACAACACTGCAAGCAGCTGCTTGGGGCTCACATGCCTGAGAGATATAATATTAAAGGAGAAGTGCTGAAAGGAGCAGATAGATTGCATTGCTATCACAAATCTCTACTGTGTTTCAGTGATCATGCCACTTAGGTAAAGTGGGACTTTGAGAGCTAAAGTCTAATTAAAATAAGTGGGCGTTATATAACCATGCTCAGAAGGCAAATTTTCTGCAATGTTCCTTAGTGACTAGAAGCTGCCTTTATTTAAAGCATTTACACAACTCAGATCTAGCAATTTAAGGCTTGGAAGATGATAAGGAAATAAATTAGATTTTGGTACACAGCAGTCAAATTAATTTCAGGGGTATGTATAACTCTTAGCACTTAAGTCCCATAACACATCATGACCCATATCAACTGGAAGGTCCCAGTTATTCAGGAAAGGCTGGATAGCACACATCACACAGTTGCTTTTTAGAAGATGTCATCATGCATCATGACAAAAGTCATGTTTCAGGGAATGCCTTAGCTCCACTAGGGTATCCATTATGGTCAGGGCTGCATTGCTGAGGTTCCAGGGATGCATCTGGCCCAGGGAGTGAATTTAATCTTCCTGTCCTTTCTTTTGGTTTGTTTTAATTGGTTTGCCTCTGTTGCTTTCATTATTTTCTTCCTCAAATAATTTCCTTTATCAATCTTGTCTTTCCCATTTTTCTGTCTCTCCTGGTTTCTTCCAGATTCTTCCATCAGGATGGAAGTCCCATGGGGAGCTCCACCTGGCCCCTTTCTGCTAAGTACAACAGCCAGTCTTGGCAAAGTGAAGACATTCTTATCAGAAGCCATGGGGAACACTGTTGGGAGGGTCTGCTTTGGGTGCCACAGGTTGGTGATAATCTTTCACACCACTGCTGTCCAGGTAACCGTGCACCCACTGAGCTCTGCCAGCACTTTCAATTACACCCATGAAGGAGCCATGTAAGGTGCAAAGAGAGGTAAGTTCACTCACTCTGTCTGAGCCTGGCTTGCCAGCATTACTTTCTTAAGGAAGACTGCATAGAACTCAGTCTCCAGGGAGGGGGAGCCTGCTTCAATCAACCTTATGAAGAAAAATATATCAGCCTCAAATTAATTTCACTGTATGGATGAATTCTGCCAAGTTCCTGGAATTTTCACAAACCAGTTTCATCTACTCTTAATTTACTGATCTAGTTTTTAAAATGTAAACAACTTTCAAACAAAATTTTATTGCATTTGAATATAATTCTTGTCATGTTCTGTACTTTTCTGCTTCGCTTCCAAAGAATGTTGTGATGATTAACTCATGCATTATGTGATGCCATGTGTAATGCTCCCTTGTGACAATAACTCAAATTGCTATTTTCATGCTATCTTCCTGTCTCTCACTCTTGTTTTATTTTTACTCTATGCTTTTTCTCATTTAAACAGAAACATTTTCAAGAATATATTTCTGTCTCCTTCTGCCAACTGAGTGCCAACTCACAGAGTCTAGGACAATGGGTAAGTGGAAACATCCAGCTACCACAGCTTTGCTTCCAGTTGCTACAGAGCTAAATTCACTTTCCCAGGAATTCTCCTGGATCTTCATCTGCAGAGCTCAGCAAAGCTGATCAAAACATCAGCAAGTTGTATATGAGCTCTCTGAATGGCTGGTTAGCCAATGAAGCGTACAGCAAGGGTACAGTTCAAGCAAGTAGGAGCAAGTTCATAGTTTCACAATTTTGTTATATTCAAAATAAGAGTCAGTACTTTTAAACTTTCATTCTGGATATCTATAGAGAAAGAGAGCTCCTGAATGTTAACTAATCATGGATGAAATGGAAATTATTTTTTCATTTCAAAAGACTATTATTCTTAACCTGAATAAACATGCAGATAAATCCATTTCATTTTACCATTTGAATAGAAGAAATTGGGCTATAATTTTAAAGCCCCATAATTCTGACAGTGATATAGGAACTCATATAACATGCATGGAGAACCTACAGCAAAGGAAAATCCTGAAAATCTAGGAGAGAAAAAAATTACAGCAGAAGACATGCAATCAAGAGAAATTTGAGGTTCCCTTGAATCCTAGCTGTCCTTGATCACATCAGTAATAACCTCTTACTGTTCACAAACTCCATATCCCAAATCTATCTAGAAAATGGTAAGAAAACTAAGGATAGGAAAGTTCAGTTTTCAGGAGAAAGCATAGTTTAATCACCTATTTTCCACCAAATGTTCTGTGCACAATTGTCCCAACAAAAGAGTAACCAGAATAAAACCAGGAAAGTCCATGCAAACAGATGTTTGAGTTAATCACTCTTGTGAATCTACCCAGGAATGGCACTGGGAAACTCTATCATCTCGTAACAAGAAATACAGTCTAAAAAGATTGATTTAGAATCTTAAGTCCACTCCTCATGAGAGCAGGACTGTTCTTAAAATACTCTAAGCAGTAGTTTCTAGTTTAGCTTTAAATACACAAAACAATGGCTTTTCTCTTCCTTGTCTTGAAATCTATCCAAGTTTGGAATTCAGTATCCAGTCCTCAGTGGCTTTTGCTATTCTCCACTTTCAGTAGCTATATATACAACAGAAAACTGCAATTTACATTAGGTGGCCCTATATGAGTGTGCTCAGTCAGTAAAAATGTTTTCTGCATATAGGGACTATATGGATGCAGCCTCAATAGCTGCCAGACATTAGGATGGAAAAGGCCTTAGTCTTTCACATGACAGCCTGATCACCTGCTCTTTTATCCTATTACTCCCACAGAGAGAGCACCCCAAGGAACATCTCCAGTCAGACTGTTCCTCCTTGCTGCCAAGGTCACTTACAGACATTAGTAGATATTCATCTATCTTTAGCCAGTAAACTGAAAGACATTTCACTTTCTTTGTACATCCTCATCTAATAATGTTTCTCTCTGAATTGCCTCCAGTTCACTGCACTGTTAATTAACTTTTATGCACTACCAGAGATTAATGCATCTCAGAAGTGATTTAAGTGATTTCTCTACAGCTAGTGTTTCAGTTTCCATTCATAAAACACTTCAACCTATATTAGTCAAAACTGTCCCCCCTTGTAAAACTTCTCCATTTCCATAGTATCTCTCATTGTAAAGTAAAAAAGGGAAGAACAACAGAGGAAGTAAAAATTTAAATACCAATATTTGTCTTTGCCTGAAATACTCAACTTAGTTAGGGAAAAAACCCATTCTCTGAGTGTTTGTCAGCTCTGCACTTTCAACACGCCATTTTCATTATTAAACAATATCTGAGCCTTGCTTTAAATACCAATATAATAGGACCTTAGTTGTTTAGCAATATTGTTTTAAGCTGGTTTCATACAAAAAAACCCCAACCCAAACCATGTAAGAACTACAAAATATGTCACTGTAGCAAGTATTTCTTTAACAGCCTGCAAACAGTACACACTTTTCCTGCGCATTTTAAGAACATGTCTAGAATTCACAAGCATTTTATCACCTAATTATTAGAGAGGCAATTTGCAAGAGTAAACAGTTCATACACTGTCTGAACCTCTTAGCATTAAAATGAACATGGATATAAAATTATTTAGTTACATAATAGCAGAACGTGTCTGACTTACACAAATGTTGAATCATTTAGAGTTTAAAGCTGAGATTTCCCAAACTGGTGCTCTATAGATTTCTGTCAGTGGTCTGCAGCTGAAGGTTTATTGCTGTCTGGATACACAGTATTCATTACCTATGAATAGTGGGGAGAAAAGAGATTAATAACAAACAAACTGACCAAGAAAAAATAGTTCAGTTTATCAACAGTAGTAAAACATTTTTTGCTAAAGACTGTAGTCCTACACTTTCTGTTAATAACTTTTGCATTTTATTATGATTTTGTCAAACAAACAAACAGACTGCTTATACTGAAATTTTCTTTTTCAGACTATTTCCTCTTTTCCAATCTATCCATTTATGAGAAAAAGAGTACACAAGATGTTATTTATAGGATATTTTTAACACGAAGAACACCATGAATTCAAAAACAGGTAAAAAGAGAAGTGTTAGCTGGCTTAGGAAGCCTGATGTCACTGATGATGGCTAAAAGGCAAAATGTGAATGTACAAGGAATTTAAGCAAGAAAAGGGAGCAAAACAATTACAACTTAATATTTTGGGACAAAATCAGGAAAGACATAATCATCTGATGCTCAAAGATTTCACAAAGAGGGATTCTTCCATGAGCCTGTAAAAGGACAAAAAATGTGTGCAAAAATGGGTGTTCTGAAGGGAATAGAAGAACTAGCAGTGAAAAGGTTAAATGCCTTTTTTGCCTTTGTCTTCACAGACAAAACCTGCTCCTGGACCTTTGTGTTTCTGCAAAGATGATGGGCAACCATCAGCAGGGGAGCAGTAGTCCAGGAACTGCCTACAGACTGGACATCCTCAGTGTAAGAGGCTCCTTTTTGTCCACAGAGGTGCCCAACATGACTGTGAGGTTACTGCCTGTCACCTGGGAGAGACTGCAGCAGTCAGAGGAGGGCCCTAATGAGTAGAAACAAGGCTAACATATGTCCATTTTAGGGGAATGATGGCTACAACAGATACCAAGCCACAATCCAATACATAGGGACCTTTATTAGCTCAGGAAGCAGCACAGCAGAAACCTCATTAAGTCCATCAAAGTATCAACTTGGAGTTCTAAGCAAAACAAATGCATATCTTTTGGGCCCATTTTGGGATAAAAATGTGATTTATTTCACGGTAGGCCAAAGTATGCTTTTTAAACAAATAAAATGTTCAACAGTTTTGTTTTGTCCTACCCCAGGTAAACCATGACATATTTCAGTAGACATAATTTCTGCAAAGAGTTGCTGAATTTGGCACAGTATGGTATATATGTAGAAAACATTTGGCCAGGGTTTTGCTAGAACTGCCTCTGTGACTATCACAATTCCCCTTTATTCTTCTGTCATTGTCTGCTCATCTTATTTAACATCATTAATTCTAATTTCCATGCTAATAAACTCAAATAAAAAGAGGAACGAACATGTACTACTACACAGAAAATACACCTCTAAATTGCTGTCTCAAAAATACATTTCAAATTACTTTTTCTTTTTTTTTCTTTTTTTTAAACCAGTGATGGCTATAATCAAGTTCAGGAATACATTCAAGAATATTTGTTTATTAAAACATAAAATCTTTCCACTGCCACAAAGTGGAAACTCAATTGCTCAACAACCACAACCAATTCCAAACTTTCTCAGGTTTAATGAAACCACTGCTTTAACTGTGTTAGTTATCCAAGTAGTGCAACTTGCACTGCAGGATATAAAAGATTCATGTCAGTAGAGATTTAAGCTCAGAAAAGTAGAACAATACTTAATGGTAAGTGAACTGCATTGGAATATTCCTTAAAGCAATTTCTCTTTTTCCATGTCTGTGTTACACTCTATTTTACTTCATCCAAGCCAAGTGAAAAATTCAAATACTTAAACAAGTTAGGAGCTTACTGTTACCCCAAAATTCAAGAAAAACTTGTGGTCATACCCATTTGTTTCATAGAGACACTGGTTTCAGAAAAGCAAGAAATTGTGAGACCTCTTGGTTAGCCCTAAGTTTATAAGCAATAATGAAAAAGAATAACTCTAATGAAAGTAGCAGATTAAGTAGGAAGAACCTTCCCAGAAATGTAATTTTGGATGCTGAATGAGAAGCAACCTGCAAGAAAGATACACTGCAGTTCTTTCCAAAGCCTCTGTTTTGGTTTTCTCCTAGTGAGACAACAGTGAATAATGGAAAAATGGAAACAATAATTATATTGGCATCCTATATTTCTAGTCTTTTAATAGTTTTCCCTCTCAAATATGTAATTCCACAACTGCATTCTCTGAATATTTTAAGCTTGATTATAGAGTTCCTGCAACCTGTTTTATACTGTTTGTGCCAGGCAATAACCCAGAAGAATGAAAACAAGCTAATACTTGGAGAGGTGCTGTGAGCATACCTCACATGCCACATAGCCTAGCCTCACGTACCTAACCAGAATTCAGAGTGCCATCTATGAAGACTGCTGCTTGGGAAAGTACAAAAGGTTAGATTTAGCTATCAGTGTTTTGTCTGAGTTCACCACAAATTTTAAATTTCCTCCAGTTACTTTAATGTCCACAGGGAAAAAACCTTGTATTCAATTGACCCCTTTCATTTTTAGATTGTTGTGCAGCTCTGGGCTTACATGCAGTGGGGTCAGGTGGGTCAATCCTGGCAAAGTTGGGGGTTTCTGCCAGATTTGATGAACAACATCATTCCTTTCAGAGCAAACAAATCTATCTTCTCTAGCCTGTGGATTTCCTTTCATTGTCTCTCATTTTGTTTTTCCACACATATCACACTTACCTGTGTATATTTTCACCTAAGCTTGCATGCATGGGCTACAAGTACATGTCCTGCTTCAACCTCGATCTATTTTTATTCCTATTCCATGTTGCCAGCACCTTCCTGTTGGGACATGCTCCCACTATACCTCCAAACCTGTTTTAGTGCACACAGCTCCCAGACTCTGCCACCTTCAAAAATTCAGCATGTTTCAATGCTGGTTTATGCTGCTACAGGGATTTAGGCAGCCCCACACCAAATCATGTCAGGGAATCAATGTAGATGAAAACTTAACAAGCAGAAAAGCAGTGAGCCTCTTTCTTCAACAGTGCTGGATTCTGTCATCTTCAGGAATTTATAGTACTATGGGATCAGCATTAAGAACTGCAGCTTCAGGAATTCTGACCAGCCCTGAAGTATAAACAATTAATGTTCTAAATATCCCTCAACATACCAATCTTGTTAGAGATGACAATGTCTGGAGCAGGAAAGCTTAATCCTCCCCAGCTTCAGTTTATATGTATGCAAGTCCAATTTTTTATTCCCAGGACATGTCTGGGAAGCATCGCAGCATATTGGCTCAGAGATAGCAATCTTCTCTGTCAGAACCTTCTCCAGTGGGGAGTGTGATGTATCCAAGACTTGGGATCCCTGGTTCAGCTTAACCTGAAACACCTCAGGAGCTTTTCCCATGGGTTCTCTTCTTTCTTATGCGTCCCTTATGCTCTCTGTTTTCCTTCTGTGAGCTGCAATTTTTAAATGTTGAGACAGACAAGAATCACAGGCCATTTTATTTCTGATACGGGTGTGGATGGACAAAAGAGAGAAGTATATTTCAATCTTTCTCTAGACTCAATTTTTGTTCTTTAACAGTTTAGTCTCCTAGTTTAAATAGATAGATAGATAGGCAATTTGAACTTGAAGGATCATGTTGTGAAAAACATGATCATCACCCCTCTAAGTATTCTGCTCATGTGTAGTGATTCATACCAGGCCTTATACTTTGGAAAGTTTGCAGTTCGAAATGTTAATTAACAGATATAGTCCATTTTCATATGTCTTCCTCTAAAGGTTACTGCAACAATATTTCCTGAAAATCCTTTAACAATTTAATGGCAGACTGGCAGTGGTATCATGACAAATAAATTTAAGTAACATACAGGTTGCAGTGACTGAAGTATAATAAAGCAATGTACTTCTTATAGAGATGTGACATGAAAAACATTGACCTGTGGTCTCAAGTAATTTTCATAAGACAAAAGCTTTCATGGTAATAAAAACAAATCAGTCAATGTTCTGAAAGACTAATACAATAACCCATCAGGGAAGCTATTCACTGTGTTAACTCCATTTAACAAAAGAGGAGTCATTACTATTCAAACTTTGCACTTAAAGTTTGGTGATAACTTTAGCTACACTATGACAAAGCAGCCCTCTTGATTAATGGGAGATACCTCCAGAATTGACAGTGGGGCTCAATGTGGAGACATATGCTACCATGCTGGTCATATTGAACAAAAAGAGTTTGACATTAGGAACACTGGACTGGACTTAAATGACAGGACAGAATATTAATTGCAGAGAAGCTGAAGATAGTGCATGAAATATTGCTGTATCCAAGAATTTATTTACTGACAAGTAACTAAAACATGAGGAGGATGGAAGAGGAGTTAGGAGTGCAAATACTTCTTATGGGAAGGAGAAAAAGAAAGGAAAGGAAAAAGTATTTTCACTCCATGATTCCAAAATTGATTCTCAAAAAATGGATACTACACTGCTTTTCAAGAGAAACAAATTGTGATTTATAATTTTATTTTCATGGTGAAGAAGTTGTATTGCTATAGCCTCTGAGAAAGGGAGAAATTAAGTGAATTACAAGCAGTCTGGGGTACAGGTAGAAAAGAATCACAGATTATGATTACAAACTGTGTTTTATAACTATGAGTTCATCCTTAGACACACACACTCAGCAAACATCATTTCTTAAGGAGCTGAAATGTTGTAATGATTCTTTTCTTTGTAAGCCTCACTCATCTGCAAGAATTTTTGCAGTTCTGATTTATAAATGAGACTGTATTTGGAAACATCAAGGTACCAAATAATTAGCTGAAAGTCTTTTAAAATACCAGAAAGATTTCCTTTTTTTCCACTCATTTCCTTATCCAGCACTGAATTCTGGAGACTTTACACAAGTTAACAAACCAGTTTGGTCTTTACCACAAACAACTCCACCTAAACCCAGTCAGGATTTTTTTCCAATTGCATAAGTTCCACTCATTTATGCCAAACACAGACTGTCAGCTGGGACTCTGTGGAATATACCACAAAAAGTTGTGAACTATTTATTTGAGAAAGGATAAACAGACACGCAGAG